TACAACACGTGGGCAACATGTATGGAGTCATACTTACAAGGTCAAGACCTTTGGGAGGTTGTCGGTGGTGGGGAAGTTACACAACCGGCGACAGAAGATGCCAATGGAATCTTGCGAAAGTGAAAAATTAAAGCAGGCAAAGCAATGTTTGCTTTAAAGACCACAATTGAAGAAGAAATGTTGGAGCACATTCGGGATGCTAAAACACCAAAGGAAGCATGGGACACTTTTGTTACACTCTTTTCGAAGAGGAACGATACAAAATTGCAACTTCTCAAGAATGAACTTCTATCAATGGCGCAACGCGACATGGCGATTGCCCAATACTTTCACAAGGTGAAGTCGATATGTCGCGAAATTTCAGAATTAGATCCGACAGCTGCTATTGGGGAAGCCAGGATAAAAAGAATAATTGTCCATGGTTTGAGACCCGAATATCGAGGGTTTGTTACCGCTGTACAGGGATGGCCGACACAACCATCGCTTGTTGAGTTCGAAAATTTGCTTGCAGGACAAGAAGCTATGGTCAAGCAAATGAGAGGAGTCTCGCTGAAGGGTGAAGAGGAAGCGCTCTACACCAGCAAAAGCAGAGGCACTTTTCAGCGGTATACTGGCAGTGGATCTAAAAAGGATGGTGACAAGGTGAAAAATTACCAAGGAAAGGGAGGCTCTCATTCAGGGGGAGCATCCAAGAATTGCAGTAATAGTAGAAAGTTCGATGGCAAGTGTTATAACTGCGGGAAGATGGGTCACATGGCAAAAGACTGTTGGACCAAGAAAAAGCCTGTTGAAAGTAATACTTCTACTTCTTGTTCGAAGGAGAATAGTGAAGATGGTTGGGATGTTGAAGCATTATTTGCTACGGAGGAAGAAGAATTAGCTCTCACGGTAACAACACCAGAACGGATTGACTACAAGAATGATTGGATCGTACATTCTGGCTGCTCAAATCATATGACGGGTGACAAACAGAAGTTGCAAAACATGTCTGAGTACAATGGAGGTCGTGTGGTGGTGACAGCTGACAACTTAAGGCTACCGATAACTCACATCGGTAAGACAATAGTTACGCCTCGATATAATACTAACCAGGTGCAACTTCAAGATGTTTACCATGTCTCAGGAATGAAGAAAAATTTGCTATTTGTGCCTCAACTAACATCATCAGGCCATTATGTCTTATTTGGTCCCCAAGACGTGAAGGTTTATCATGACGTCAAAATCTCAGAAACACCAACAATGGAGGGACGACGTTTGGAATCAATTTACGTGATGTCAGCAGAGTCTGCATATGTAGACATGACAAGGAAAAATGAGACATCAGATCTATGGCACATGTGGTTAGGTCATGTTAGCTATTCCAAGCTAAGTGTGATGGTGAAAAAGTCGATGCTTAAGGGGCTTCCTCAACTAGATGTGAGAACAGACACGGTCTGTGCGGGATGCCAGTATGGTAAAGCACACCAATTACCATATGACGAGTCGAAGTTTAAAGCAAAAGAACCGTTGGAGTTGGTTCACTCTGATGTGTTCGGACCGGTTAAGCAACAATCAATTAGCGGTATGCGGTACATGGTAATATTCATTGATGACTTCTCCAGGTATGTGTGGATTTTCTTTATGAAAGAAAAATCTGATAATTTCTCAAAGTTTAAAGAGTTCAGAGACTCAGCTGAAGGAGAAGTGGGAAAGAAGATATGTTTCTTGTGCACAGACAACGGAGGAGAATATAGATCAAACGAGTTCTCTCAATACCTAAGGGAATGTCAAATACGTCATCAGTACACTTGTGCCAACACGCCACAACAAAATGGTGTAGCGGAAAGAAAAAACCGGCATCTTGCAGAAATTTGTCGAAGTATGCTACATGCAAAGAATGTACCTGGAAGGTTTTGGGCTGAAGCAATGAGGACTGCAGCCTTTGTGATCAACAAACTTCCTCAACCAAGGTTAGGATTTGTTTCACCCTTTGAGAAACTATGGAATATAAAACCTATAGTTAGCTACTTTTGAGTATTTGGCTGTGTATGTTATGTGTTTGTTCCTGATCATTTACGGAGCAAATTTGACAAGAAAGCTGTTAAATGTATCTTTGTGGGATATGACAGTCAGAGAAAGGGGTGGAAATATTGTGATCCAATTAGTGGAAGATGCTACACGTCACAAAATGTGGTATTTGATGAAGCATCTTCTTGGTGGTCCTCAGAGAAGGAGGTGTTGCCAGATTCGAGAGAATTTGGAGACAAGCTACAACAAAAGATGGGGGAGCATGATGTTCAACTCCAAACAAGTTCAGATGAATAAGAAGATCCAAATGGCGATGATGTCGAACAAAGAGTGACTCAGAATCCTTGGCAAACTGGCGTGTATCAACAACTAAACAAAAAAGGTGGGCCTAGTGAAACAGAAGAATCAATTCCACAATCTCAACTCCGAAGGTCAACAAGAATACGAAGTCCAAATCCCAAAAATGCCAATGCAGCCATAATTGAAGAAGCAACGGAGCCTGAGACGTTCAAAGAAGCATCGAAGAGTTCTGAGTGGATGACAGCTATGAAAGAGGAGATCGATGTACTTCAGCAAAATCAAACTTGGGATATTGTACCAAAGATAAAAGATGTGAAACCCATATCTTGCAAATGGGTTTACAAGATAAAGCGCCGTCCAGATGGGTCAATCGAGAGGTACAAAGCACGATTGGTAGCTCGTGGTTTCTCTCAACAGTATGGACTAGACTATGATGAAACATTTAGTCCAGTGGCGAAACTTACAACCGTACGAGTCTTACTTGCACTTGCAGCCAACAAAGACTGGAACTTGTGGCAGATGGATGTGAAGAATGCTTTTCTTCATGGAGAACTAGATCGAGAGATCTACATGACCCAACCAATGGGTTTTCAGAGTCAAGATCATCTTGAATATGTGTGTAAGCTACGAAAAGCACTCTACGGATTGAAACAATCACCTAGGGCGTGGTATGTTAAGATTGCTGAATTTCTAACGAAAAGTGGTTATTCAGTAACACCTGCAGATTCTAGCTTGTTTGTCAAAGCCAATGAAGGTAAGCTAGCTATCGTACTAGTGTACGTGGATGACTTAATCATAACCGGTGATGATGAGGCAGAAATTCTTCAGACGAATGAGAATTTATCAGTTCGTTTCCAGATGAAGGAACTTGGACAACTTAAGCACTTCCTTGGTCTAGAGGTTGATCGCATACACGAAGGAATATTTCTATGTCAACAGAAATATGCTAAAGATTTGTTGAAGAGGTTGGGAATGCTCGAATGCAAGTCAACTTCAACGCCAATGGAACCAAATATCAAAATGTGTGCACATGAAGGAAAATATTTGGAAGATGCAACAATGTATCGACAATTGATAGGTAGTCTGATCTACTTAACCTTAACCCGACCTGACATTTCTTATGCAGTTGGTGTGATGAGTCGGTATATGCAAAATCCAAAGAAGCCTCATTTGGAAGCAGTTCGACGAATACTGAGATATGTGAAGAATACAATTGACTATGGTCTTTTGTACAAGAAAGATGAAGACTGCATGTTAGTTGGTTATTGTGATGTGATTATGCAGGAGATCATGACACAGGAGATCAACAACTGGATATGTGTTTAAGCTTAGCTCCGGAACAATTTCTTGGTGTAGCAAAAGACAACCAACGGTATCATTGTCAACCACTGAAGCTGAGTATCGAGCAGCAATAATGGCAGCTCAAGAGAGTACATGGTTGATACAGTTGATGAATAATCTACATCAATCGGTAGATTATGCAATTTCGTTGTATTGTGACAACCAATCGACAATTCGACTGGCGGAGAATCCTGTCTTTCATGCAAGAACTAAACATGTGGAAGTACATTACCACTTTGTTAGGGAAAAAGTTTTGCAAGAAGAGATTGAGATGAGGCAAATCAAGACAGATGAGAAAATTGCTGACTTATTTACAAAAAGCTTGAGTGTTGGAAAGTTTGAACATTTCCGTCGTCAGCATGGCGTGATTCAAAGAATGGAGGCTAACATTGAGGGGGAGTGTTAAAAATTCAATATTAGCCTAAATAAGTTCACACCTAAATTAATTTGATGTCATTGCTTACATCAATTTAGTTTTGATGTCATTGCTTACATCAATTTAGTTAGGTGAAAATTAAGTATTTTTCTCATGTTTTAATTTTAATGGTTTAGATTATTTAGTGCTTATTTTAATGAGTGGTTTAGATTGTTTCTTGTAACCTATAAATACCCTACTTGTATTTGAGTTTTATCATCCAACAATCAAAGCTTAATTATAAGCATTTGAAAGCTTTCTTAAGAGTTCTTCCCTTTTGCAATTTTGTGAGATTATTCTAAAGAGTTTTTTTTCTTCTTCTCGATCAATTAGAGTTTTTACTCTATTTTGATTCAACAATTAATAAACACAACCAATTCAGAAGCCTCGCAGCTTTCAATGGTTCCAATGTGTACTTGCAGTTTAAATGCAATATATTTATTCTCTATATTCATATTTATGTTACTTAACTCTTGTTTCCAACAGCAATGGACACCTATAGACTCAATAATATCAATGTTATGAATTGTTTTCTTGAACACCAATAAAAATCCATTAAAGAAGATGAAAAACAGCTTACTTCAGTGACATCTTTGGCAGTGAAATTCTCCTCCGTTTCTTTCTCAACTTGCTGCACAAATATTAAGCTTACATGTTTTTCAACACATGATTTTTGAAGCAAAATTGTTCAAAGGGGTTAATGTTATCGGAGTTGAGAAACCAGAAGCAGCGAGATAAAGAAATAATGAAACAGATTTTAATCTGTTCAGAGTTTCATATATTCTTTGTAAAACGGCCGTGGCTCCATTTAGTCTCACCAATCAGCAGGAAAAATTCATACAGGATTATTTATGATAAAGCACTAATCCCACATCAAGCAAGAGAAGGAAGAACGAGCGTGGCTTCATAAATAACAGGCAACCATCTTCGTTGCAAAATACTTATCTGGACTGGGTCAATGGGTGATCAAGAAGGTCCATGACCTAGGTTAGTGACCTCCATTGCACTTAGGAGAGGGGTGCTCGCCTAAGGTCTCCCCAAAGTGGGAGAGCCTACGTCATAATTTGTTATAGTTGGGCGGCCCCTGTCCAATTGTAGTCTAAATCAAAATTTCCCGGCCTGTTGCTTTTTGAAACACATCAAATTTAAAGTGTCTTTTCAGTAGATGATTGTATATTTACAACGTGATATGTTTTATATTTGCTTCATGTCATACTTAAGTTGACATAATAACACCCAAACTAAGTGCTAGATTGACAGAACAATATATAATACTACATTAAGAATTCAAGCAGAATATTTGAAAATTTGAATACTAATTTAGAATTTATACCATAATTTAAGGGTATTTCGTTATGAACTGTATATTAATTTAGTGACTTAATTGATAAAATGTTTTGTTCAATAGTTAAAATAGAACCGACCCATAATTTAGTGACCTTAGGGTAATTTAGCCTATTATTTTTCATCGATTGATTAAAATGTAAAATAACATTGTTTCTTTCTTTCTTCAATGTATCTAGTATTATAAATGTTTCACTTCTAGCTAAAAGTGTGGATATCAAATTTTGCACAATGTTTGAATTTATTTGGTTCAATCTTGAAAGCACAAAGTTATTCATTTATTCGTGTGTTTGAGCAAATGTTGATACTAGATGAGGTTAAATTACAAATTTGACAACTGAACTTTCATGTGAATCCTATTTTACTCATTGTACTTGTAAAATTTTCAATTTGCTCACTCAACTTTATAGATTTAGTTTTTTTGTCACTTTACCATTATATCACTAACAGCTCATTGATGTGGCTTATTTTAATATTAAAATTCAGCTACATAAGATGTCACATAAGATTTCTATTTAATAAAATAAAAATTAATCAGAAAAAAAATCCTATACAAAACCATAACCCCAAATACTACCACACAAAAAATCTCAAATTAATCATGCAACCATGAAAGTCCACATGCAACTCCAATGGAGATCTTATAAACTTGTTCCAAGAACCAAAAAATCATAATTACTAATTGAAAATTACACCCAAAATCCTATAAAAAAAACACTAGCCCCCATATCCTTCCGTAAAAAATTTTGCAAATTAATCAGGAAGCCATGAAAGTCCACAAACAATTTCAATGGAGATCTTATAAACTTGTTCCAAGTCAAAGTCAAGTTGATTCATCTTTGATTAAGTAATATTTTAATGGAAGATAATGCAGTGAAATTTTGTAAATATCAAGTTTCATTAATGGTATTTTGGGGAATTATTAATAATTGAATTTTAAATACAATTATATTAGTTTAATGCCAAGTGTATTAGTTGTTAAATACTAGAATAATAAAAAATAAGCATATTTTCTAGCTCTTGAACAAGCCTTGGCCGAAACTTCATTGCTTCATAAGGTAAGATTTTATTTTTTTTATTTTTTGAAGCCATATACTTGATTTTTGGATTAAGCTATTAGATAGAGAATTAATCTACATGATATTGTCTATCATTTGGTATCAACATTTCATAGTGAAGATGCTTATATGTTGATATTGAAAGTTAGGGTTTATGTAGGGTTTATGGATTTTGAAGAATTGATGAAAGATTTTTATGTTTTTGATGTTGGAGATTAGTTCTAAAGCATTTATGATGATTAAAATTATTTGTACATGCATATATATAATGTTCGACCATACCTAGGGTTTTAGGAGATTGATTGATTTTGGTTTAATTTGATGTTATGATGATTGGAATAGCATGATTTTGGTGTTAGGAAGTTGAATTCATGCTTGAAATTGAATGAAAACCTTGTCCTAAAGTACTATGTAGGTTCGGCCATAGGGAGAAATTTGGGGGGGATTTTGAAAATTTTTCTATGGTCTAGAAAAGATATTTGAAATGGTCTATGTGATTTGAAGATCAATTTGGAACCTTGAGATAGTAAAAAGGCTAGTTTACAAGTTTTAAGAATTGTGGGACATTATTGTAAAAATGTGATAATTGGGGTGTTCGATGTTAAATTTTAACATTGAAATGCTGGAAATTTGAGTTGGAAAGTTGTTTGGAACCAAATTGCAAAGTTAGTAAAAGTTGAAGGTGGAATTTGAAAGGTCTTAGAAAAATAGGGTCTTGATTGTAAGTTTTTAAATGTGAAAGTATCATTTGGGTAAATTAGAACAATTCTGGAAATTTTAATAGCATGCTGATTTTGGGTTTAATTATTTAAGTTTGGATCAAATTGCAAGTTTATAAAGATTGGAGGTTGAATTCGAAAAAGTCTAAGAAAGTTTAGGGTGAAATTGCAAGCTTTTGAATGTTTAAGTGTTGATTTGAATATTTTATTACGGTGCTGGAAATTTTATGTGATTAATGTGACATGATCATAGTAGTGAAGGGCTATTATGAATTTAATGAAAAAGTTGAGGTGAATTCTAGAAAGAATTCAAAATTAGTGGTTTGATTGTGTAATTGAAAAAAATTGAGGGACTAAAGTTAGAAATAAACATTTATGGAAGTTAAAGAGTATTTTGAGAAATTTGAAATTTTGATGAAAGCATGACTTTTTTTATCGATTAAGTATCAATTTTTATTTTATAGACTTTTATGTTTTTAAGTTTAGATTATATTAGTTTGATACTAACATATAACTTGAATATGTTATGTTGTCAAATTACGATAAACCTAGTGATCCAAACAACCTGAAAGGAAAGGACAAAGCACGTGATTAGAAATATTATGTAAAAGGTTCGGTAGTGAGGCAAAGCTGAGTGTAATTTATTTATTTAATTACTCTGATCGATGACGACTTATGATAAGTCAATCTCATGTTATTTTATTTTAAAGGTATGATTTATGTTTTAATTATGAATTATTTCCATAATATTTTACTAAGTTTTATGAATGATTTCGGGTATGAATTGCCCATGTTATATTTTACGACTACGATTTGAAAATGATTATGGTTTTGATATGATGTTTATTAAATGGTTATGAAACGAAAAAAAGTTTATTGTATGTTGCATTAAGATTCGTAGGTACAGTTGACATGCCATGAGATGGAGTGAATATGACTCTGATATGATACATCTGTGTATATTATGTATAGCATCGTGTGTGCAAAGTTTAAGATTGCACTTGGAGTGCATAGTTTGATTTTGATGATAGCACTTAAGTTGCACACACTCGTCTGACTCACGTACCTTGCATTCTCTTAAATATATTTTGGGCTATGAAAATGAAATATAAAAATTCTGAAATGTGTCTTAACAAAAAGGAGCGTTAAATGATTATTATGTCTAATATTGTTTATTATAATTTTGAGAAAATCATAAGATGGTTCTTTTCAGGTTTTTGATGAAGATATAGCATGAGATACTCGATTTGAACATTTTAAGATTTTTTTATGAATTATTTTAAATGTTTTAATATATTTACAATATTTTATATATTTTATCTCACCTTTAGTTATTAATATCTCACTAAGTTATTACGGACATGCAGTGAGGAGCCTCTCGAGCATATTTTTGGAGATCATCTATAATATCAGTGTCAGTAAGACATATTCGATGTTACTTTTGATTAATAGTGACATTTATATTCATCTTATCCATTTGCTTTATCAATTTTATTTAAAGGGTTTGTAATAGTAAATTATGATCATTTTATTTTGATTAGTCTAGTTTTGTCAATAACTATAAAATGGGTATATATACATTGTTATATTTAATGGGTAGAATACATATAATATTATGTTTCAAATAGTTTGAAAACTCAAGCAGTTTTAAATAGTTTACGATAACATACTAACTGTCTAATCACTACTTGAAAATGAATTTTTTTACAATAAACTATTAATTTTTAATTTTTATGCTAATAAGAAAATAGTTTTAAAGTTGAAATATGAATGTTTTAAAATGAAACAAAATTTTAAGTATTTATGTTCATTAAATATTATAAAGTTGATGTGACATCTTTAACTTGTACATTGAAACATGTACAGATTATGAGTGTTACATTTATTGGTATGACCCTGTAATTTTTAAATTTACACTTTAGTAACTAAAATCACATTGTTCGGCCAAATCTATAAAATTACATTGATATGAGCTAAATTTCTCTAATCTAAAATATGAAAATAATATTTTCAACCATTATCTATCATCCTTAAATTTTTCGTAAAATTCCATTTCAATCCGATTATCCAATTTCGATACCGAATTTTATCGTTTTATAACTTTTAACACAAATCACGTATAGAAAATCTGATTACCACGAAAATTCTTATATCAAGACAAACGGTTTGTTTAAAGACTTAAATATAACATTTTAAAAATTATATTTTTGGTCCTTAAATTTTTACAAAGTTTATATTTTAGCCACCAAACTTTCAAAACTTACAATTTAGTCACTAGCCAAAATTTAGGGTTATTACATTCCAAGAACCAAATAATCACAATGAATCATTTTTGTTCTCTCTTTAAATCCAAAAATGAAAATACCAAAAAATAAAGAAGATGAAGAATAAAGAAGGAAAAGAGAAAAAATAAAAAGGACAAAAATACCAAAAACTCCTTTTTGATTTCCTTGCATGCCGTCGTCGTCGTCTTCTGTCGGTTCCAGCACCAGTCAAGACTCAAGACCATCTCATGTTTCTCCTTAGCTTCCATAGTAGAGAAAATGGAAATGAGAGGATGAAGAAGAAGAATAAAGAGGGGAAAGGAAAAAAAAATGAAGAAAAAAAAGAAATATAATTTCTTCTTTAGATCAAAACGATGTCGTTTTGGTTAAAATTTAAAATTTTTAAAGATCCAAAATTACGTCATTTTGGTATAAGTTTTCACGTCATAATGCTGTTAATTATTTAACGGCAGAGTGCTAAAAAAAATTAATGTATAAAATTCAGTGATTAAATTGAATTTTTTAAAAGTATGATGAGTAAAATAGGAATTGTATGAAAGTTCAGTCATCAAAATTTGTAATTTACCCTAATATTAATATAATAGGCTTCAAATATTTGGACTTTTTCTTTGAAATCTGATTGATTTTGAGGACTGCCAACCACCAATCCCACACCAAGGTGAATGAAATACACGGCAAGCCCTCCA